GGGTTTTAGGGTTTTAGTGTTTTAGGGTCTAGGGTTCGGGTTTAGGGGTTTAGGGGTTTGGGGTTCGGGTTTAGGGTTTAGGGGTTTAGGGTTTAAGGGCTTAAGGGTTTAGGGCTTTAGGGTTTAGGGCTTTAGGGTTTTTAGGGGGTTTAGGGGTTTAGGGGTTTAGGGGTTTAGGGGTTTTAGGGGTTTAGGGGTTTAGGGGTTTTAGGGGTTAAAGGGTTTAGGGGTTTAGCAACGACGGATTTTCTTTTTGCATGCCTGCTCTTGATGGTTGAGGGTTTAAGGCTCAGGGCTTAGTGACAAAAGCCTGCCCACTGCCCACTGCCCCTGACTCTCTTCAGGGTACCATACTTTAACCTACCATAACCCACTTTTTTGTAGGTTCTTATTATTATCAACCCTAATGTGGTATTTATAGTCACCCTACAAAAACGTAGGTTCTGGTAGGTTAACGTATAATAAAGAAGCATGAAGGGTGGTTTAGGCCCCTGAACTCAAAGGTAAAGGCCGGTATGGCTTAAGTAGGCTGTATTGGGTTTCTGATTCTGAGTTGCGGAATTATGAGGCCTGGAGAAGCGTCTTCCTTTCAGAATCTTGAAGAAAGCCGTGAAGGAGCCTTTCGAAAGAGAAAACGCAAGCCCTGGAGAATCCTGCTTGAAGATGCATCGGCCAATTTGGCTCTCAAATCGATGTGAAGCCTGCGCTTACTCCGATATAAACCCTGCAGGAACCCCGTTTTCAACGCCTCTGTATAACATGCTCTAAACAAACCCCATGTACAGCCTCCTTTAATTTAATCCCCCGGTCCTTTCTTCGAGCTTTCCTTGGCCCGAACCTCCATCGCAAGACAGGGACTTGGAAGGTTTGGCAGTCTGCAGTGGCTCATGCTCCGTGTTCCGAAAAAACATCCCTAAACCCTAAACCCTTAACCCGAGACCCCAGACCCTAAACCCTAAACCCTATAAACCCTATAAACCCTATAAACCCTATAAACCCTATAAACCCTATAAACCCTATAAACCCTATAAACCCTAAACCGTGTTCCGAAAAAAACTCCCAGAGAGAGCCAAGCTTCAAGTCTGCAGGGCGCCTTACTTGGAGGAGCATGGGACTAGTAAGTATGTTTGTAAGTACCTTAATTGGGGGTTATAAGTACTTATAAGTATAGTTACCCAAAAAAATAACCTTAGTTACTAAGTCCCAGGATCCTTTAAGTACTGTGATACAAAGCATCCTGGGTTTGGGTCTCCGACACATCCGACAATCAATATGGGTAGTTCTCAAAATTCGGTCCCTTTTAGGGTCCTTTTACAAGGGTGCCGTACTACAGTGGGGACCTAAAAGGGGCCCTAATTTAGAGAACTACCCGAATGTCGCCCCGGAATTACGGAAGAGGCTCCATAGGTTCGGGGCTGAGGGGTTTAGGGTTTAGGGTTTGGGGTCTAGGGTCTTAGGGTTTAGGGTTTAGGGTCTAGGGTCTAGGGTCTTAGGGTGTAGGGCTTTGGGGTTTAGAAGGCACTAGGCGCGAAATGCGAAGAATCCTTGAAAGGGGGCTATGCTAAGAAGCCTTTCGAGGGGTTTTGTTCAGAAACCTTTCAAGCCCTCAAACCCAACAACGTGCGCAGCAAAAGAAAGCCTAAACCCTAAACCCTAAACCCTGAACCCTAAACCCTAAACCCTACACCCCTAAACCCTAAACCCTAAACCCCCCTGAAAACCCTATACCCGAAATCGCCAGCGCCTTCTTCTTGGGCAGCTCCTGGCCGTCCTCTTCAGGGCCAGGCTCCTTTGCTTCTGCCGCCTGTTGCAGGTTCACCGGTGCGGCCAAGGCTGACTCTAGGTTAGGGTTTAGGGTTTAGGGTTTAGGGTTTAGGGTTTAGGGTTTAGGGTTTAGGGTTTAGGGTTTAGGGTTTAGGGTCTAGGGTTAGGGGTTTAGGGCCTTCTAGGTCCCCAATATAGGACGGCACCCTTCTGAAAAGGGCCCTAAAAGGGGCTCCATTTTTGAGAACCTACCATATGGATTTCTTTACTTTACTGGTAGTTGAATACCATATGGATTTTTTTTACTTTACTGGTAGTTGAAGGCTTCTCCTTCTCTAAGTGAAAGCTTCTGCTACGCTAATTGAAGGCATACGGTATTGCTTAGCTGAGGGGTGAATGGTGCTGGGTAGATTGCGGGCTTCAGTTTAGTTGGTGGCTTTTAAACCCTAAACCCT